TCTCTCTCTCTCTCTCTCTCTCTCTCTCTCTCTCTCTCTCTCTCTCTTTCTTGGTTTTTCAAGACAGGGTTTCTCTGTGTAGTCCTGGTTGTCCTTGGAACTCACTCTGTAGACCAGGCTGGCCTTGAACTCAGAAATGCACCTGCCTCTGCCTCCCAAGTGGCGTGTGCCACCACTGCCCAGCAAGCTCACCCTTTCTAGTTCTTTCTGAGCTCTGGTTGGCTGGTTCAACTCAGCTGTTCTGGGTTAGGGTTAGCTCAAACTGCTCTTCAAGCTGACTGATTCAATTTGCCCCCCCCCAATTGTACTGCTTCATACTAACTTTGACAATGTATTCTAATCTTCTAGCACATTATGTCCTCACCTGTCTCTAGCCTGTTTTCTCTTCACAACTTGTCTCTGTAAAAAACTGCCCCAGGAAAACTGCTGCCTTCCTTCTCTCTCTTCTCCTGAGTTGGGCATATACTATTCTGCAAAAATCTTTCTCTAATTCATCACTTTGTCTGCCACTCAATTAGACATCACTTTCAAACATGGGTGCTACCTTCTACAAACTAACTTTACCTTCACTGTTTGGCATTAAAGGTGTGTACTAAGGGTGTGTCTATTCCAGCCAGCAGGATTAAAGATTGTGTGCTAAAGGCTGAGCCACACCACAGATAAAAACAGGTTTTTCCAGTAAACAACACAATCCCAGAGTTCACAATGTGATTTAAAAAAAAAAAAAAGCCTGCAACAATGAGCCTGAAGTTCCACCATCCAGCTTCCGACCTTAGTCCTGAAGAGCTGACCTAAAATACAGCTGACGGTGGAGATTCCAACACAGTAACAACCTGAGCAACATCAGGCAAGATCTACCATGTAGATATTGGAAGCCAATGCTCAGCGCATGCTCAATTTTCCTGGTCACTTGTATGTCTCTTTGTTCCCAAATATTTGCAGGTGAGGAGGCTAAAGCATGGAACTCCCAGCTCATGTCTCTGCTGGTTAACTCTAGAGACACTGTGCCTGTTTCTTTGAGGGATTGTTAGAGAGATGATAATTTAGGGGCTCTGATCAAGTCTACACCTGGAAAACTATAGGCTATGCTGCGAGTTAATAATGGGATACCCGGCCTGTGCCTGGTAACAGCTTGGAAGTCAAATACTATGTCTGTTGTTGATCAACTCGACAGGGAGGTCAGGGTCCAGAACAAAGCTCTAGTACCAGCTGGACCACTCCCTCTAGTGACATCACTTCCTGTTCTTTATTTTACTAGGAACTGAGCACTAGCTCAGTTCAGGTAGGAGACCCATCATCTTGTGCAAGGAGTCTTGATGGAGTGTGAAAAGCATGCAAACTACAATCCCATGGGCCAGAATGAGATTACAAGAATCCCCCAAAGGATGATCCAGAAAATAAAGTTGGAAGTCAGAGGTGATGTGCCCTCAGGCAGCTATATAGACTGTTAATACCTTCTCACACATTGTTGCCTCCTTAGAGTATCAAAGGGAACTGCTTTTCGTAAAGCCTCGAATTTTCTTTTTGTCTGCGAAACCAGCTATGGTAAATGATATACCTCAACCCACTACTGAAATCACCAAGCCTTGTTAATGGGTATTCCTGATTGTCAACTTGACTACATCTGGAATGAACTACAATACGGAAATGTGAGGGCACACCTGTGATCCAGATCTTGAGGGAGGAAGACAGGTTTCTGACCTGGATCTTGCCATGGAGATCTTGAGGCATAGTGGCCATGAAAAGCTTAGGCCCAGGCAAGGTATCACACACCTTTAGTCCCAGGAGATAGAGGCAAGCAGATCTGTGAGTTCAAGGTCAGCCTAGGACAAAATAAGTTTCAGATCCAGGTGTGGTGGTACACACCTTTAATTTGGGCTATACCTTCTGCTGGAGGCCACATATAAGGACATTGGAAGAAGGAAGAGTCACTCTTTGACTGTTTGCACTTATTTGCCAGCACATCTGTTGGGACCCACTTCTACAGAAGACCAGCTTAAACAACTAGCCTTGTGGGACTGAGCAACTACTAGATTCCTAGACTTCCCATTGTTGGGTCAGTTGGACTACAGACTGTAAGTCATTACAATAAATTCCCTTAACATTTAGAGACATTCCATAAATTGAGTAACTCGAGAGAACCCTGACTAATACACCTTGTGTACTTACTCAGTAAACCTTAACATTGTTGAGACACAAATGTATTCATCTATGTTTCTAACATAGGGCACTTAAAACCTCCTGGAATGGATAAACATCATTGTTCACCACCTCCAGGCCTCAGCCCTTCCTTGATCCTCACCTTTACCATAGACCTATCCTAAGTGAGAAAAAAAATTTTTTTTCAGAAAAAAAAAAAAAAAGTTGTCTTCCTGTAATTGCTTTTCTTGTTTTCTGAAACAGTATCCTACTATGTAGCCCAGGCTAGCCAGGAGCTCACAATCCAAATGCCTTTGCCACCAAAGTGCTGGGACTATAGATGTGTGCCATCTACCCAGATGGTCTAATGATTCTTCCTGCTCCATATCTGCTCTGCCTCCATGACATCATTACCTTCCTGTTTCTATCACTAGTTCAGACCCTTCAATCCATTTGGTTCACAAACTCCTTATGTTCAGTTTTCAGTTAAATCTCAAAACTCAGAATTCAAATTATCACTGGCATATAGGTTCTATATATAAGCATTTGTACTTGAATATGAATCTACATAAGAACCATACTAATTAAAGCAAATACTGAATGTATTGTTTTCCCTTTAACATTCTCAAGATATGAGCAAATGACTAAAATAGCAAATAAAGATGTTCTTCAAAGTTCTTTTCAATCTGTCTATTCCAATTTACAATTTTAATTATGAACAGTGGGTAATGTTCCTTCTATCTTATACAAGTATTATGAGTTAAACAATACAAGTATCTGATGAAGGAAAATTTAATAAGGAAAAGAGGTATTAGTAAAAATGTTTTTAAAGATTTATTTGCTATGTATGTGTGTTTTGCCTGCATGTACGTAAGTCACCACATGTGTGCCTGGTGCTCATAGGAATTCAGAAGAGGGAGTCTGATCCCATGGTACTAGAGTTTCAGTAGGTTGTGAGCCACCAAGTGGGTGCTAAGAACTGAAGCTGGATCTTCTGCATGAGCCATGTCTCCAACCCCATTATGAAGTCTTAAAAAGAATGTAATCATGAATCCCATACTCAACACAGAAGCAATACTGAGAATAAAATGTGTAACACTTTTTTATTGATTCATTTGTGTTTACCCATATGTTTCACCTCATTAAAAAAAAAAATCAGTGTTTCTAATTTCTTGGATTTTCAACTTTAAGTTCCATGTTGACAAATCTATTTTTATGTATACCTTTGATTCTTAAAACAGAAGTCACATGTTTAAAAATACCCATTCCTTAAAACACAGCCATTGTCAGTATTTTGTTTACAATACAGATCCTGAAGACAAACATTTGACTATATTAAGATTTATTAGTCTGAAAACAAAACGTGGGATGTTATTGTATATACCATTGGTATATATTGAATTCTGGCAGCAAAGTGTTAATGAGAAAATTTCAACTTTCTCTGGTAGTATAATATAAAGGCCAATCTATTTCTCACTTGTTACAACTATATTTCACTGAATTGTGGTTTAAAATCACAAAGTGATAAAATATAAATACAAAATACTAAGAAAAGTTTAACATATAAAGGGAAAATGTCTTACACATTGTAATTTTTAAGAAAAATCCAGCATAAAGGCAAATGTGGCTTTTCAAAATGTAGCCCATATTCAATCACAGGAAAAATTTAATCAATCCACCTAATATACAAACTTCACAGATATCATTTATTTAAGTTTATGTCCAAAAATTTCCAGGTAACATAAAAGTCTAGCTAACAATTAGAGTTAACATCAAGAAAGATCTGCAAACTACAAACATTTGCAAGTCAAGTTAAAGCATGCATTTATCTCTGAAAGAAAAGAAGCCCAAATTGGAGTTAAAAGTCAAGTAAAAACAACTATGAACTTTAAGTAGCTTATATTTAAAGTAATGCAAGTGTACATCATATGTATAATGTAGGGCGTTATATGTTTTCCCAGCTATACATGCAGACTATACTGTGTGGTAAAAATGATTAAACTAACTTGACAAAAAAAAAAGAAGAAGAAGAAGAACCAAAATACCATTTAAGCTGGAGAAATCACAGAACTATCAAATTTCTCCCTGCAAGTCACATGAAGCTAAGCTAAAAGTAAATCATAAAATCTCAGCACTTAATTCTAAATTAATACTCTAATTTGGGCTTACTACTAATAATTTACACTATTCTTTTCTTTGGGCTAGAAACTTTTTTTAGGAGCCAGCTTTTGGAATCAGCAATGTAATTTCAAGTCCTGCCCTCTAACAGCCAGAAAGGTTGCCTTTTTTTTTTTTTTTTTTTTTTTAAACTTGATAGTTCTCAACACCCATGGCCTGGAGAGAATAGATTTCACAAGTCACTAAGTTAAACTGCTCTAATGCAATGGAGCTAGTAAAATACATATATCTGTTCTTAAGAAAATTTACAAAACTAACCATTTTTTCTCCAGAATTATAAAAGATAAAAATCTATGACCTGGTACTCTAATATAATCAAAGAAAGACTGCAAACCAAAGTCAAGAAGCATGGGCTTACTGTAACACTGCAGTCTCTCCCCCTGCACTGAAAATTCTCATGTAAATACCTTAGAACTGCTCTGGTCTTTGCAGTTCAATGACTCATGAATCACTGCTATGGTTCAGGAAAAACTTTTCCTGTCAGAAAAAGAGATTACTTGATGGTGGTTCCTATAAAGTATCAGAAGGAATGGTGGGGGGGGGGGGATCAACTGCTTGAAAATCTTTGGAAATTCCAGAAAGACATCTGGCAGTTCTATACATTATCACTCCTTCTGCGTCTCTTTTTCTTTAAAAAGTTATTTTTCATATTTCACATAATATTTGGTTATTTTGACTTAAATAAGGGAGGATTTTCAACATTTTCCAACCTAGAAAAAAGCAAAAGTCAGAAGAACTCGATGCCAGCAACAAAACCATCACATAAAATTCAAGCTGAATGGTGGTATGTCACGCCTTTACAGACTTGCCCCTTGCTTCACACAGGATCCAACATGCAGTTCTCAATGAGCTCAAGTTACAGTAGAGCCAAAAAGATGCACACCCTACCCCACCCCCAAGGAAAATAATTCTATGCAGTTTCTTGTTAGACTGTGCTTGAATAAATCACACCATTAAATGAAAAGTTTGAAGATAGACAGGAACCAAGAAAGGGAAGACGTGTACCTGGCCAGCAGTTTTCTCTGGATATCCTGGTTCCACTCTCTCACAGCTCACTTTTCCCTATAATACAGCAGGTAGTACTTCAGGGGGTCAGGCAACGGGAGGCGCAATACCCTCTGACGAAGGAAGTTCACTGGTGGCTCAGGCTTGGCCTCTCGTAAGGTCCTCTCTGCCACTTCCCGCCGATCCTCCTCTGCATCTTCACAGCTGGTGTCATCAGAGGGGTTGGAAATTCGACTAGCAAACACCTCTTTATCCAAAAAGACAATGGTCTCCATTCTGCGGCGACGGACTCGCCTTCTTTTAAACATAGGTGTGCTCTTCAGGCCACCTCCTCTGGTGGCTTCCTGGCGCATAGCCCTCTTGATGCTGCCACGGATAGCAAGCCGGGCCAGGTCCTGCAGGCTGCGCACGGCTGGTGGTGCTGTGGACAGGGGCAGAGCCTGTGGGCATGGGTGGGGCCAACCCACACCTAACTTGCTGAAAGGACTTCAAAAAAGGGGGGCATTCTAACCAAATAGGAACCAATGGTCTACTTTGCACTACATGTGTTTTGCGAAAGCTTTGCAAATACACTAGCTCTGAACTTTGAAAAGGAAAGAAATACTGTCTAGATCAGCAGTAAAATTTGAAACCTCAGGGTTTATAACTCTACTAGTTTATAACTCTACTCTGCTCAATAACATAATAACATCCATTCAATAATATAGCAATCCACATTTCTAACATCCTTTTATATACTTTAATAGTTTTACATGAGTTTAAATACACATTAAACAGAAAACCTAAATCACTTTTTTTTCCCCTCCAGGACACATAACCTTCTTCAAGGAAGAGGATACTTGATAGAGGGGACTCTCATTTAATCTCCAACATTTGTAACTGAAATCGTACCCCCTGCCTAGAACCCACCAATATCTTCTGCCATGCAAAAGATGCAAAAAACGTTGCTGGATAAGGTTCTAACAACAAACAGTACCTCTCCCCTCTTTTTGAGGCACCAACCCTTCTCTCTTGTCTTTTGTTCCTGAGAACATGGGCATGTGCTCTCTCTATAAGATGGAGCTACTGTACCTTGTCTGCATCCTGTCATTCTACTGAGCAGTTAAGGCCTTGTATCTCAACAACAAATGACCTGTAGTATATCCTGCTCTCATCAACTCAATTAAGAAAAGATTAGCTCCTGAACATTCGCAATCCAGCTGTTTCCCCAAGATGTTAAAACAGTCTCATCACTGGCTACTGGGCTCCCAAGTTATCAGCTCTGACCTGTCCAGCTTTCTCTGAGGGACACCAGGAAAACTGATGCAGTTAGCTACGGCCAGGTTCACAGTCCTTCTCTATGACCTGACTTCTCTTAGGCCTTGTGACACTCCCAAAGGCTCAGTGTCCCCTCTATTCCTCTCTCAGTATGACTGCTGATCCTTGATTTAACCTCTATTCTGTAAATTTAAATAATATAGACCAGTTCCCCAAGTTGAAACTTAGTCCCAATCAAGTCAAACCTACCCCAGACTCAGCACAATACCTTAGGCTCTCCTGTTCTTCCTCAGAAAGGGCATGTGTCCTGGAACCCTTCCTGTTGAGAGGTTGGTGGTGTCTCAATCTTTTTCTCTTGCATGATAGGGAAAACCCCATCAACTTCCTGCCTGACTTCTGCCTCCAACCTGCATGCATGCCACTTAGGAGGATGCTCCAGGCAGTGCATGTCCAAGCTGCGTGGTCTCTTTGTATGCTGGCTTTGCTATATGGTTTCTCTTATTCCCTTGGTCTCATCAACTTCAGTGATCTAGAAAAGATAGAAACTGCGAACACCCTACCCAACTGATCACTTTAGTAATTCTAACCAAATCACACAAATGTTTATTACTCAACATTCACAGTGAGCATTTCAGGAGGCAACACATGCCTAAGGTTCCTAGCCAGGCTTGACAAGTCCTCATACAAAAACACTCATTTTTAACTACATTTTCAAAGTCTTCAAAATGTTTTCATGAATTGTTGTCTTTTAAACTGAGCCACTGTACCAGAGGATGGTGCATTTCCTTGTACGGGCCACATTTGTTTAAATAACAAAATTTCAGAGCACCAGTCTGACAAATTCGTCCAACTAATGATTGACAGGATTATACCTATATAAATGTGCAGCACCTTCAATAATATCTGAAGCTCTCCATACCCACAAAGTGAATTAAAACCTAACCTACATTCCAGTCAATGACTACACCATGAAGTGTGTGTCCCAAAGTTAGTCCCGGTTCTACCTTTCTACCCTTCTCTGTAACTTTAGGTTTTTCCACCATTTTTATAAGCTCCCCATAATAATAACTGAATATAAATTTAAAGGGTTGGATTACATGCTGCTGAGAAACATCTATAAAAATTAATCAACTTTTTCCTCTCAGCCTCTGCTCCCAGAATGAATAACTATTCTCTGAGACTAATTATTTGATAGATGATTAGGCTGTAAGTTTTGGATTGTTCTCTGACTTGTTCTTAATTCATTATCCCTTTTATTCTAACTTGGGTTCAGCTTCATGGCTGGTTTCTTTTCCTTGTCTTTATACATCCGTCTCAAGAGTTCCTGGAGCAAATTTTCCTTTTATTTTATCCTGAGTTCAGCTACTTGCTAGTTTACATCTGACTCCTCAGCATTTCAGCTCAAATCTTCCATGTCTCTCATTATCTCCCAGAATTCTCTCTCTCCCTGTTGGATGTCTGACCTATTTCCTGCCTCAGCTTATTGGCCATAAGCTTTTTTATTGACAGGTGATTCATAGTAAGAGATTCTCTATACTTCTCTTAAGAAAATTTCCTTTCACCCCGAACATAACCAAACACAACATAGCATCACCCTCTACATAACTTCCCTTGTCATTCCAAGCTCTTTGTATATTTCACTGTTGCTGGTTACCAAATGTCAAGGCTTTGTCTATGTTACCTGACACACAAAGAGGACAATTTAGAAAATGATTCTCCACTAATTGAAGTGTTTTTGGAAAAAATTAACCAAAGAGTATGTGTTAGAATTATGCATAATAATTCACCTTCATATTTCTCTCTCTCTTACACACACATACATGAGAGAGAGAGAGAGAGAGAGAGAGAGAGAGATTGATTTTCCAAATGCTTTAAAAGATAAGAAAGTGTGATGAATAGTTTTCATTTGGAAATCCTAAATCATCATCATTTTGAAATCTTATTTATAATCTTCATTTGGCCGGGCAGTGGTGGCGCACGCCTTTGATCCCAGCACTTGGGAGGCAGAGGCAGGCGGATTTCTGAGTTCGAGAGTTCAAGGCTAGCCTGGTCTACAGAGTGAGCTCCAGGACAGCCAGGGCTACACAGAGAAACCCTGTCTCAAAAAACCAAAAAAAAAAAAAATTCTATTTTTGTGAAAGCTGTTTTAAATATGAAACAAAACATCAGGATGAAGGTCAGCTTACATTAGCTCATGTACAGCCTGCATCTTAGAGATGTAAATACAAAGGTTCAAAGCATGTGAGGCTACACAGAATTTCTCAGTCACACAGCAGAACAGGTTCTTCATTCATATTTGCTTAAAGCAGCATGAGACAGGTACTGTGAGGAAGAGGACTATATTTGGGTAACAATTCCTAGCAAACAAAGCAAATTGCCTAAGCTCCCAAAATAAGCTCCTTTTTTTGTGTATGAATCTTCTACACCCAAAAGCATGACTAGCAATAACATTTTATAGATTTAAAGAAAGATTAAAATCATCTAAGATGAGCTAAAAAGAGATACTTTAAAAATATCTAAAACATCTTGTATAATTTGAAGATGCAACAGGGGAGGTTAACACTCTTTAATATCAAAAGGTTAATTGTAAATTTTGTTTCTATTCTAACTTTAATCAAAGATAAAAGATAGGTAGGATGTTCATACTCACGTAGTTGGACAAGTCTGGACTGTCCTGACTCTGAACGGCAAGGCTGGACCAAAGGGGCAAAGGAAACAGCCAGAATCTTTTTTGTTTCCCAAGCAGAAGGGCCTGTGCGTGTTATCTTTGTCAACTATCTCAAAGACAAAACAAAAATATCCAAAAGATTTGGTCACTAGATAACTTATATTTAAGTGTGATCATTTCTATATAGCAAATCTAAATATGAAACAGCCTGTCTATATACACCTAATGTGACATGACTAACAACTAACATGAATATTCTTATGCAAATGCTTAGCATGAACATACTCAAGCTCCTTGACATAACTTCTGTTTATAAAAACACAAATGATAAGTCAGTTAAAGGACTACAAGAAAAAATAAAAAGATAATGAAGATAAGATTCATGCAAGTAACTTTTTAAAGAGTTCTTCAAAAAAGTGGCTGAAGGTAAGTTAGGGAGGGCATGTCCTCAGTACAACTAACCAAAGATGTACAACAGCTACAATACTTCAACCATTTACCCTGATTTCTATGTGCTGCTATCAGGAGTACAGCTGCAATGGCATCTAAGGGACAAAAACATCTGAGCTTTAAGCCATCTGTACCTGTAATAGCTAGGGGGCAAGAGAGGCCCAAATGCCAGATGCTAAAACCTTGTTGCTGTGACTTTCATCAACAACTATGTGTCATACTAGATACCTAAGGCAACTGTCCTTACTCTCACTGACAGCACTTCAGGGGTGTAGTGGGATATGCTACCTGATACACAGCAGTGTGGGTCATCAAAGCACTTTATATTATAGGATTAGTACCAAAGAATCCAATTAAACTACACAGCCTCTGTGTGCTCAATATGACTAGGACAGTTTACAAATGTCTTAATAGGTCATAAAACTGAGAAGATTATATGATTATCTTTTCTAAAAACATCTAACCCAGAAACTCATCTAAAACTAAGATTCTCTAAAAGAATTAAGCAGTATAATTACTAATGATTAATTATATTTAGAGATAATAGCAAAAAACATTTTTCAGAAAAATTTGAAGATTTATTTTTTAACTTATGTGCACACCTGAGTGCCAGTACTCTTAGAGTCCAGTAGAGACCATAAGATCCCCTAAATGTGTAGTTTACAGACCTTTATGAGTTTTCTGAACTCAGGTCCTCTGTAAGAACTGTATGCACTCAAGTCCTGAGCCATCTCTTTATCACCCAGAAACTTTAAGTTTAAAAAAGTTTAAGTTTAAAAAAAAACTATTTTATTATTTTTTGCATGTATGGGTGTTTTGTTTATGTGTTAGCCTGTGTACCTGGTGTGTACCTAGTACTTTCCAAGGCCAGAAGAGGGTTTCAGATCCAAAAGAACTGGGGTTACAGAAGGTTGTGAGCCACCGTGTCATGTCAGTGCTGGGAATTGAACCCAGGTCCTTTGAAAGATCTGAACCACTGAATCATTTCTCCAGCTCCTTCAGAAACATTTTTTTAAAAAGAAGAGCTTCTAGCTATAATGACCACCAAATATTTAACTATAATACACAAATTATATGTGAGACCTTTAAACTATAAACCTGTATTTCATAATCTAGATGAACAAATAGAAATAGTATGAGGATGCCTACCCTCTTCAAGTTATTCTAGCGCTAAAATGATCTCAAACGAAATTTTGTAGTGATAATAAAAAAAATTAATGAAGCCTTATTAGTTACCTCCCTTTGTTAAAAAGTTATTATTCAGAAAATTAATAAGCAAACAATAACCAAAATTTATCCCTGAAGTATAGGAGGACCAAATCACTAATAGTAGTTTTCTTTTTATCAAAGTTAAGCAGCACCTAAATACAGAGGAAAAAAAAGAATTTAGAAGTATTATTCTATAGTTCTTAATAAAACAATGAATCAGGCTGAGTCATTCCAGTCATTCTACAAGGTAAACAGAAATGCTGCTTAAATGAAGCCTGTCTTCTAGACCTAAGGTTTTTACATCCAAACAACTGTATACCAAAAATATTCAGAAAGTAATACATGTCTCACTGAACATGTACAGATGTTGTCATTATTCCCTAAGTAACATAGTCAACAACTATTTACATAGCAATGACACTCTATCAGGTATTACAAGTGATTTAGAGGCATTATAAAGTACAAAGGAAGACATGTGTATGTCATACGCCACTAACATTCTATGTGACTTTATAAAAGGATCTGGGGCATCTGCACATTTTGTCATGAGTGGAAGAAAGTGGTCTGATAATCAATCCTTTGTATACTGAAGGCAAATGTCTATTTTAATCCATCGCTTATATTCCTGTGTTCTTCCCAATCAAAATATGCCCAAGGTAAACACTACCGAGCCTCTAGATCTAATTGCCAATAGGTAGAAAATATAAAGGACAGAAGAATATACAATCCACCACCACAGAGATCTATGGGCTGAAAATTCCAGAATGTAGAAAACACTTTAAGACCTAAAACCTAGTCCCCTGAACAAATCAGTTACAAAGAAAATATGAGAAAAAAAATAACCCAAGAGATTAAAAAATAAGAAGGACTAGGATGATGGCCCAATTAGTAAAGTGCTTGCCATGCAAACATGAGAACCAGAGTTCCAATCCCCAGCATTCAAACACTAGGCAGGTGGTATAGTCCATCTGTAACCCCATATGGGATCCCCATAGCAAGATGACTAGCTAGACTAGCTGAATTGGTGAGCTCTGGGTTCAAGTGAGAGATCCTGCCTCAATACATAAGGTGGAAAATAACCAAAGAAGACATCGTTTGTCAATTCTCTAGCCTCCATATGCACGGGTACATGCATACATACAAACTGGCACCCACCCACATGTGGTGGAGGTATATCGTAACATACATATATACATACATACATACATACACACACACGCACAACTAAGAGATTGATCAACTAAATGCAACTTGTAAACATCAAAAAGATACAGATTCAAAGTTAAATGACTTAAAATTACATTCATGAACTCTCTTAAGTAAAGCACTGTAAGTTACAAGTTAGTCTATATAAGAAAATTTTTGAAAAGGGAGGAATGTCTAAAATACTTTCTATCAGAGTATTAAGCAAGTACACTAACAAGATCAAAATTGATAGAAGCCATCTAGGAAAGAGAAGGCAAGCAAATGAGTTTTCTGACAATGTCCCACCATTTTGTAAGACTGTGATGGATGAGTTCTGAGAATGTAGGGTTGTTAGAGACTTCATCCCAGGATTGCTTCTTGCTGTTGATATACCTTTCACTATTACACAGCCTAATGACTCCTGGGCATCATCCCACCCTATTGGGCAGATTTTCTGCAGATCAACATGAAGATGTACTCTCATGTAGTACTTCTGTGTAGACAAATTGATGATTTCATAATTCCTGATAATGATTTTATAGAATTCCTAAATTTATACAAGTACTTCAGGGTTAAATAAAATACTGACTAGTTTATCTATACCAAACTTCAAAATAATTAGACACAAAGCAGATGATTTGTATCTTGACAAAACCATGCTAACTTGTGACATAAAAACTATTGCTTTAAACTTATAATGAACTTATGGAGGGGGGCCTTGAATAGATGGTTAGTCAGATACTAGTCTTAATGGAAGGACATGTAAATAATTCTGTTGTAACTCCTTAAACCTTATCAATCTATGACATGAATTATTGCCTTAACTTAATATCAACTTATTGGCATGTAAAAGTATTTAGAAAATCATGTAATTAACCTGTGGTAATAGTTCTACCTGATAGTTGTATGAGGTAAATTTTTAAAGAAAATATAAATGCTAAGAACAGAAATAGAGGTTGTTGGAGCTTCTTTTCAGTGCTTCATCCAGAGTGGGTGTTTTTCTTTTTCTTTCTCTCTGGCTCACAAAGAATTAACGAACTCTGAGCCTCTCACCTGATCAGCAAGGGGGCTCTAGTCAAAGAACCTGAGTAACTAACTTCTTTTATTAATCCCCTACTGTTATCTGCAGGAGTTTACTGCCAGAAGCCAACAGCTTTTGGCCACAGGATAGCAAAGAGTTAAAAAAAGAGAAAATTTAGCAAAAGTAAGCTACTCTTGCCCCAGTAATTGTCTATGCCACCCATCAACACCTGCTTCAGTCTATTTTGGATGCCAGGCTGGTCACTGGCCCAAAATAAAAAGGAGCTGGGGTGAAAAGAAGGAAGAAGAAAGAGAAGGAAAGGAAGAAAAAGTAGGGAGGAGGAAAGAAGAAAACAGAAAAACAAGTAAGAGAGACAGGAGGTAGGAGAAAGTTCACACATAGCACACAGGGTATGCAAGACCTATATAGCTTTGTGCTCCTCTGTTAATAAATTGGCAGAAGTTACTGTAAGAGTAGTATACATAAACTGACTTTGAAGGAGAGTATACACAATGTCAGCTGTGTAGAGAACCTCACCTTCTCTTCCAAGGGCATGACAAGGATCCCTCCAACTTTGAGAAGATTTTTCATGTACTCTTCATGTTCTTTCTGCACACCAGCTCCACAATATACACGATCATACTGACAACAATCTGGAGCAATCTCCAGGCAATTGCCAGTTACAAAGGAAGGTTCACAGAAGTCAAATCTGCAAGAAAAAAAAATTTCTGTAACTACATGTATTGTAACAAAAACATAAAAACAAAGTTATGCCTGCCATATTAAGAACAAGCAAAAGAAACTTGCTCTCAGACTCCACTTAACCATATGGAAGAAACTAAATTCAAGGTCCCAGGCCCTAGGGGATCTGAGGACTTCGTTATAGCTGAACAGCTTCTGTGGTAAACAGCTGGGTCTGAGTCCAGCCATCTCAGGGACAGTTGTATGAGTCTAGCCATCTCAAGGACACTTCATCTTGCTAGCAGGTTCAAACAAGTTCATGTCCCCAGGCCTAGGAACAAACACCTATCTCACTTCTCCAAAAGCTTTCTTAATTGTCTGTTAACAGGCAAAGAATATAGAAACTGCTGATATCTAAACCCAGGTACATAAGTTGTAAAATTATATAATCAATTGCCTGTTATGCTCTAATTAACTACTTGCAGCTGACCCGATCCTTTGTCCCCTTATCACTCTGAGCTCTGGACCTAAAGTCTTAGCAGGACCAACTAAAGACCTTGAAGCCAACTGCCCTGGATAAGGCCTAGTTTCCAACGAGTACTCCTAGTTTAACCAAAAATGTCAACATTCAATTGGATAACACTGAAGCTTCCCTCAGGATCCCTCTCACTTTGTGTTCCCATACTTTAAAAATGTTGTACAATCTCCCTTCTGGGACATGGTTCAGATCCTAAACTAGCCACCTGCTTGGGTGCTCAAAAAACAAAGCTTTCATTTTAATGCTTATGTATCTGAAGTGAGTTTTCTTGGATCCCACCCCAAACCCAACAACTACATATTAGGTTTTAATTACAAAATCACAGAACAATGTAACACTTTGCAGGAGTTATAAGCTACATTTCCAAACAGAATCATACTATGTAAACAGAACCTTATATGTTACAAACAGAATGAAAGTGAATGTTCCAACATGATCCAAATATACAGCAACACTAGCCACCATTTTTTACTGTTTTTACAATGCTCAGCACTACGCTCACCTGCCTGACAAGCAACTGGAGATTTTATTGGATTTTGATTTATTTATTCATTGTGTGAATTCACCTGTGTATACTTATGGATGTGCCACAGTATACATGAAGACTTCAGAGGACAACTTGTGGGGGTCAGCTCTCCTTTCACCAGATGGGGTCCAAGGATCAAACTTAGGTCATCACTCTGGGCAACAAGTGCCTTTACCTCCTGAGCCATCTCACCAGCTTCAACAGGAGGTGTTTTTTGGTTTTTTTTTTTAAACAAAACAAAAAACAAAACCCAAAACACTTTCTTTTTTTTTTTGACAGGCTTTCCTTATTGGATACCCTGGAACTTGATATGTATGGACCAAGCTGCTCAAACACACAAATATCTGCCTGCCTCTGCCCACCACTACTGGCAAAAAATACTTTTTATTCTCTGAAATTTCTATTCTTTCAGAAAACAATTAGGTGATATAAATTTTCAAAACTGGAACATGAAAACTGAGCAAAATAAATTATTTGGTTTTTTTTTTCTCTTACTATAGTAATGAAAATTTGATGTTTAGTGTCATAAGTTATAAAACACAAAGCTGGCAAGGTGTGCTGACACATGCCTTTAATCCCAGCACTCAGAAGACAGAGACAGGTGGATTTCTATAAATTTGAGGCTAACCAGGTCTACATAGTGAGTTCCAGGACACCCAGGGCTATTCAAAGAGACTTTGCCAAAAAAAAAAAAAAGAAAGAAGAAAGAAAGAAAGAAAGAAAGAAAGAAAGAAAGAAAGAAAGAAAGAAAAAATAAAATCCATAAAGCCATTAATGATAGAGAATATTAGAACAGTAACAAGGGTAGGCACACATATAACCTAGGATCATCCAACCATACTTTAACTGTGTTTTCTGGTATATGCATACTAATAAACTGGCTTTTTCCATCTATAATTAACACCCCTTGTTTGAACCAATGTGTAGCATCTGATCATACTTGTCAAAACTGTCACTTGTTCTGATGAAGACATCCAGTTTCTGCTTCGCATACTCAGTCACATCTGAATGAAGCTCCACCCCGTGGTTAACACCAAAAGGACCTGAAAGGTTTGAGAAAACAAAGCTCTTAGAATGGGGAAAAGAACCCCTTGCTCATTTGTTTTCTAAACTTTCTTAATTACAATTCTGTAGTGTATAATTACAGAAACTCACAAGGGTTTGAGGACTCAGCATATCTATGGCTCTAAACCACCCAAGGGAGTCTTTCAATGTGTAGTATAGGTTCCACTCACTAACACAGTATTTGTTTTGATGCCTTGGCTTCTCAAAAAGCTCTCAAACATTAAAAGAATCATTTGCAAATTGAAAAAAAAGGCAAGAGTAGTAGCTTTTACCAACAAATTTTAAAAACCTGTATTTATAAATGAAATTTGTATTAGGATTTATCTATATTTCACAGCACTTTCATTATTACTGCTGGCAGTATCAAGTGCCACAGTGTCTCCAGGATTACTCTTTTACTAGGTATTAAGGTAGGGTGTGTGCGTGTGTGTGTATATGCAACACACACACATGTGCATAGATGCACACATCCATGAATGTTCATGGCAGAAGTCAACATCAGGTTACTCCATGTTACTTTTTGAAACAGGGTCGTACTAAATAAACCCTGGGATCAACACATCAGTTAAAATGGCTAATGATGCAAGCCCCTAGAATCCTATCTGTTTTCCAGCTCTGAGAATACAGACACACACTGCTACACCTGGCTTTTTTTACATGTGTTCACCTTTACATGATTTGAACTCAGGTCTTCATGTACAAACAGTATTTACAGTGAGCCATCTCCTCAGCAACTTATGTTTTTTTCCTTTTTCTTCTTTGTCATCGTCTTCTTTTTTTTTTCCTCCAGTTTTGGTTTTTCAAGACAGTGTTTTTTCTGTGTAGCCCTGGCTGTCCTGGAACTAGCTCTGTAGAACAGGCCAGCCTCAAACTCACAGAGTTCCAACTGCCTCTGCCTCCAGAGTGCTGGGATTACAGGCATGTGCCACCACCACCACTACAAGGCTGCACCTTTAGGCTCTTTTCAATAGCATTTCTAATATAGGCAGGTTTATTACCTATTTCCCCCAGTCAAAACCATTGCCTTAGCCAATCAAAAACAAAGATTAAAAATCGTATCAATTAAGAAATACAAGCAACATCTGAAGTCTTTGCCCCACTATAATGTTTTACACAAAGCAGGAATTCAATAGCTCTTCAGCTGATAATCATGTTAATCAGAATTGGCCATATTCATACATCCATTCTTACAGCTTATAAAGAGAATAGCCTAAAATGGCTCCAAGTAACCTAATAAATCCCTTCCATCTCTGAAAATTCCTTAAAAATACATAAACTTACTACTCTTAGTAGCAAACAACAAAAGAGAAACTGTTACAAAGAACTTCAACTACCAAAGAATTTTAATGACACTCAGTGGTGAAGAGCAAAAAAAAGTGATTAGAAATCAAGAAACCATATAAGGTCAAGATTTATAGACCTTTGCTGTTTTCCATCATTCCCAGCAGAATGCAGCAGTATAGGTAGGAAACATAGAAAAGGTACCCCAGCCTCCCAACTCAGAGCCCACAAGTGGATATCATCAGTCATCCACCACCTACTTTCAGCCAACTAATAGGAGGCCCATGATCTCCCTCAGAGTATGCAAAAAGCCTACAAAATCTTCTATCTAAAGTGATACCAAGTTGTACTAAGGTAGAGTGGACTAAAGCTCTGTATCCACACTCACCTAGAATGAGCCCCACCATGGAGCTGAGGTAGCCAGTACCACTGCCCAAATTCAGAAATGAGAGCCCAGGCTGCAGATCCAGAGCCTCCATCACCTCCGAGTAGATGCACGGGGCTGAGAGATGAATGTTTCCATGTTTCCATGCCAAGTCTTTGTATGCATTTTCCTTAAATTCTTCAAGATAATAATCTGCTCGATCAATAGCTCGGAAAGCCTGCTCTACTAAGTCCGTCCGGATGTACTGGGCTTCCTTCAGATTATCAATGAGCTCATCGTTGTCCTCACCAGCACTCACAGCACCGCCCATGTTCAAGATTACAACCAAGCAAGACTACAATTAAAATTCAATAACTATTTACATTAAGGGCAAGAGCAAAACAAAGAAATCTCTAAATACATGCTATTTCCAAATTCTCAGTTCTGAATATAATGAAGACAGGAGTATGTTTTCCCAATAACTACTTTACCCTTCGAAGACACCAGTATTAGGAGTAGAAATTACAGGGTCAGAAGGATAGTTCAAAGGGTAAAGCACTTGGCATACAAAGCCTATGACTCAAGTTCACTCCCCAGAACCTACATAATGTTGAGAGAAGAGAAACTAGTGCCACAGGGTCATTCTCTGATTTCCTCATGTACACAATGGCATGTGTGAGCCTACACACCATAATTTAATTAAAAAAAAAAAAACAAAACAAAATAAAACACTAGCTCCCCTAGAAATTTAAGCTAACAACAAATAATAAACCATTTGATGTTTAACTGAAATTCAATTTTTTAAAAAAACTTTACATTTATTATTTTATTTGGAAAATATATTTGCTGGCCTACAGGTGCCACAATTTGCAGAAGTGGTCCCTAGGGATCAAACTAAGATTTTTAAACTGGGTGGTAGGTACCTTTACCTGCTGAGCCATCCAGAAATTCAAATTTAAATGGTATCCCCATGTTAACTGGAGCACTACATCTCAACATGTACATAGACTCACAGCAAGTAATCCACAACCTACTGATGAGGTTACTCTGATGTTTAAATTTTAGGTAAAAATATTCACAAAACTTTCTTCCCAAAGAGAACACATTGCGACACCTTATTGTAACAGACATAAGATCTGTTTCAAGGCTAAAGTTTAGCAGTAGAAAGGGTCACTGCCGGAACTCTGTGGCCTACTTCCTATACAGCTTCCTTCCCCTTGCTATCTAAGAAGTACACTTCTTATGTTCTCCTATCCTGTTTTGGTGAAGAAAGCATCCCCTTTAGGTCCAACTACTAAAACAATATTTCCCTGATCTAGTGAACAGGGAATATTTTTTACCCTGAAGAGGTCTTTTTCGGGGCTGGAGAAATGGCTCAGCAGTTAAGAGCACTGTCTGTTCTTCCAGGGGTCCTGAGTTCACAACCATCTGTAATGGCATCTGGCACCCTCTTGTGGCCTGCAGGCATATATGTAGGCAGATTGCTATATGTATAATAAATCTTTTAGCCAGGCAGTGGTGGCGCACATCTTTAATCCCAGCACTTGGGAGGCAGAGACAGGCAGATTTCTGAGTTTGAGACCAGCCTGGTCTACAGAGTGAGTTTCAGGACAGCCAGGGCTATACAGAGAAACCCTGTCTCACTCGAAAAACCAAAAAGAGGTCTTTTTCTTTCTAGAAAATGAAAAATATACTCCCCAGTTATATACTGACCTCAGGTGACTTTTCCAAACTAATGGCTTTATTTCTTAAAAGTTGGTGATGCTGATATAAACTGCTGAAGAAAAGACTACCAAACCACAGAAGATTAGTAGCCTTTCTGAATCAAAGCAGCTCCTGTTCAGGAGTTCAAGTTCATCTTCAGTGAGTTCCAGGCCAGCATGGATTATATAAGAACCTGTCTCAAACAATAACAACAATTATGTTATGGTCCCTGTTCCCTCAGCCTTCTCTCTAGAACACTGGAGACAGGCCCTATACATACCCATCCCTAGACACACCCATGTGCACAACTGGTAACAACAGTGCTAGAGAATTAAGCCTAGAAATGAAAATCAACCACCACTCTAGCATCTTACAACAGGAAAAAAACTTTCTTGATACAAATATTTTCTCATTTTATGATGAAATAATCCATCTTTATAATCAAGAAAACTATCAGATTTTCAAATCATAGTTCGATTATTAAAATTTAATCTACTTTTCAAGTGAATTCAGAGTTCTTGCCCCAAGTTGTAAATAGTCCCTAGTGCTAATAAGCTTCGGCTTAATCTTAAATAAGCTACTTAGTTCTATTGCTACACTACTGATCTAACATAGTCATATTAAAATTTAGGACACCTGTTGAAAATAGAGTAATGTATTTATATGCTTACAGGCCAATTTAGGAAAGGACCTTTAAAAAACACATGTCCTACTGAATCAAGAAAGCCACCCCTTTCACCCTATCTCAGTTCTACAAATTAACAATCTTCAGCAGGTACCACAGTAGATATATTTCATTTGTACTAGACATTTATGTTACTGAATTTTTTTCTTATGTGAAAGCTAGTTCCATGTTAAAAGAACAGAATTTCAGTAAAAAACAGCAACCAGTTTTTACATTCAACATCAGAAGGCAAGGCAAGCCAGTCTTAAGTTACTAAACTGCTCATAGTCATAGACAGTGAGAGGAGCTGTGATGAAACCAGTACTGTTTTAGCTAAAGGCTTTTGTTTTATACACAGCATGGATACAGGTGTTAAAGACTTACAAAAGAACAACATTCTTTGTTAATTTCCAGTAATACTTTGTTAATCAAGTATAATGTGCATTATATTGGTAAATTGTCATGTGCTGTTTAAGTTTGTTGCAAGTGGACAATGAGAACAAGGACTCTCTTGTACCAACTCCAGTATGTTTGTTTCTAGTAGTCTCCAAATGTTCTCCAAAGTACCTTTTCCTGGAGCTTGGTGGGTACCTAATTCTATGATAGGGAGAAAGGAAGAGCAAAACAGCCCAGGAGTAAAACATTTTGTCCTTGAGAACAGCTAAAAGATTAGCCATTTACAAGACTATTGTTTATTGTATGGTATAAAAATGCCTTGGTAGAAACAAGAAGACAGAGTTCAGCCATGGAAATCTCAAACATGGAGAGAAGAGAAAGTTCAACAGGTAACTCCAGCTGACTGCCTCTAGTTGATTTCTACTACATGACTGTAAATGCCCAACTTGACGATGTCATCTGCATACATACACATACATATATATATATATATACACGTGTGTGTGTGTAAAATTTAACTTGGAAGCTTCACTTGGGTTCTCTATCAGGAATTCCAAATGGCTGCTTCAGATGGGATTTTCACAGATGATTTCTGCTGTTACCTTTTGTTTGGTCTCTCAATTGGGCTATCCCAGTCATCCCTACTAGAAGTGAGTATTCAACTTGATGTTTTCTATCTACTACTTCTGTTACTACTCACTAGTTCTTTTACTTTTGTTTGCTATAAATACTTCATAAATTCACTCATTTAAAACAGAAAGTGTGACTATTGTAGATCATTCTCTAGACTACACAGAACACCAAGGTAGCTCTATCAATTGCTTTTGGTGGAGAGTAGGTGAATAATGATGGAGTGTGATACTTAATATTAGCTTTGCCTGACAATTTAATGTCGCCTTGCATAGACGCCTCACTACTTGCTGCTGAGACAGATGTGATCAGTCACCATGTCAAAAAAAAAAAAAAAGCCCTAAAACACACTTGAAAATACTCTTTCCAAACTAAATAGCATCACTGCACAAGAATAAAGTGCAGCAGATTCCAAATGAAGGCAAAAAATTATTTTCAGGAGGCTGTCCTTCATTCACTACACTACACTATACTACACACTGTACTACTTGTTGTAATGCTTATTACAGTTTCCATTCAGTACTGATTAGCACAAGCCAACAGGAGAAGAGCATGGGAAAACATTGAGCAGTGGTAGTACAGACTCCAAGCGGACAGCAACAACACCAGTGAAGCTGGACTAAAGGGCCGTTTCACAGCCATGCTGCGCGTGAAAAAGATTTCGCTAGCTGGCCCACAGTCAAGTGGATGCCACTTTCTTAGGAAATACCTTGCTAGGGACATGTATTCTAAACCATCATCCTGTGAGCAGAATGATGATAATAACTAAGGCTTCTTGCCTTGAAAATCAGAACTCTTGGAGGGTATGCATCAAATGCATACCACTTGTGGTCTGCATCTGAATGAAAGCCTGTCTAATAGTATATGCTGACTTGGGGCAGTTCTTCCTGTTTTATGCACAGAAAAGCTTTGGGACTACCAGAATTGACAAAAAGAAAAATGAGTTTCTTCTCACAAGTCTCCCAGCAAGGTCTCAGAGAAGGATGGAGAAAAGCCAGGGCCTAGGGATCGACCAAATCTTCAAGAGGGCCCACTTCAATTCCCTTTATATATAATTAGTGCTGAGCCTCTTAAATACTCGTTCTAGAAGACAGCCTACCAGACGTAATGGAGCCCACGTTAGCCAGTGCAGGGCCCAAGAGAGAAGATACTCAGATGACTGAGTTGATGGCAGAGGCACAGGCCTAATAAAAAACAAACAAAGGGCCCAGGCCCCTGCGAGTTCTCTCCAGCTACTTTAGACCTTTCCCTAAAGGGGTCTTTCTTTTCTCCTCTGTAGGATACTCTGCCTTCTTCCAAGTATCCAGCCAAATTATAATTTGTTTCAAACATTGTCAATGCCCGACTTGCCCTTGAGCTAATTGCAAACATTTCCTACTTAGTCAGAAATAGGCTGTAGATCTAGAGCAAACAGAACCCAGAATGAGCAACAGGAGGGGGGTGGGGGGCACGCTGGAGGGGAGGGAGGTGCTGGAGGAGGATGTACCGTGGAGGGTGCTGGGCAGGGAGATGGGGGGCGGGGGGGGGCAGGCACTGGGGCTCGAAACTCTCGGAGATGGTAAGAAACACGGATGCTGGGGGACGGATAACCAGAGTTGGAGAAGGGATACGGAGGGAAGGGCTGAGGGGCAGAGTCTGCTCTACCTCGGCGCTCAGCAGCCCTGGGATTTAGTCTCGGATAGCAGTTCTTCGGACGCTTCTGTCGCTTCGGACGGATCTCAGCCGCTGTAAACATCCGCTACTACCTCTGCGCGTGCGCGAGCTATACCTGAACTGAGCATGTGCTGTTGGAGGGCGCTCTTAAAGGGGCAACGGCACTACCCGCGAGCCTGCCCCTTTCCACCCACTGGTTTGAATGAGTGTGTCACTGCCTCAGTGGTCACTACATGGTCTCCGAGCATGTCTTGGTCTAATGATATGAGAGGATGCTGGCATGTCGGCAGGAGAAAGGCATTTTCCCTGCAGGCACATGGTTCTCGGCTTATGTCCACTCAAGGGCACAGCCCCTATAGAAAAGACAGTGAAGAAATAAGAGTGATAGATTGTGTCCACTCGCCTGCAGGAGTTACAACACAAATGACTGCCAGCTTTTACCTTGCCAGACCACTCGGCCCAGAGGATGGCCATCTGCACACTTGACCCTTGAGCTAGCAGTACTCCTGACCACTTCTGAGAAATCTACAAAATAGACCAAAGTCTAAGTGGTCTTTAGGGTCTACCTGTCAAGATTGTTCTGAGTTTTAGTCTTCCAGTTTTGAATGAGAAGCAGAAACATGTTCTGTATCTCCTCTTTGTGATTTCACATTTCCTCTACACTGCTTGGAGGGTACATGTTGAAGGAAGTAGTGTCAAGATGGAAGGAGACTGGATACTTGAGTCAACATCTGTAAGAAAGTCACTCAGCCTGCAGTGGATTGTGGTACCAATGACAAGAAAATGATTATACTATTTTTTTAAAGTTTGTGTAGGAAGGCAAAAGACCCAAAATAGATAACACAATAATGATGGAGAAGAACAAAAGTATAGGCCTAACACCATCTGATTTCATGACTTACTATTAAAATTACAGTAATCAAGAGTCATATGGGGGAGATAAATTAATGGTATCAAATACAACGTCCAGGTTAGAGCTATACAAATATAGTAAACTCACCTTTGATAAGAGAACAAACACAATTCAATGGAGGAAGGATGGTCTTTTCAACAAAAGATGCTGGAACAGCTACACATCCACATGTAACAATAATAGAGACATAGCTCTTCCAAATTTGATTTCCAGTACCCAAAACATTTGGCCTCTGCAGGCACTCAGGCACGTGCATACACACACACACTCACTTAAAGGTGAAATATATCTTTTTAACACTGGCATCATTTCTCTGTAAAATATACTGCTAGAAGAATAAAAAGGTAAGACACAGACTGAAAAACAACACTTCCAAAACACATATCTGATAAAGGATTTTTAAAAATCCTTAAAACTCAACAATAAGAAAACAAACCACACAAACAGAAATGGGTAAAAGCTATGAACATATGACTCAGCAAAGAAAATATACAGATGGCAAATGAGCATACGAACATATCAACATAATTTGTCATTAAGTAATTGCAGATTTATAAAACAATGAGATATCAATACACACCTATTAGAATAGCCAAAGTTTATAAAATTTATAATTCACCAAATGCTGGTGAAGGTGTAGAGCAACAGCCCATCACCTTCATTGCTGGTGGGAATGAACAATAATAAAGCTACTTTGGAAAATAGTTTGTAAGTTTGTTACTGAACTAAACAAAGTCTTATAAGATGTGATGGCAAACAAGTGTAATTTCAGCACTTAGTGGTAGAGGAAGAAGGATCAGGAGTTCAAAGTCATACTTTGGCAGTGTAATAAGTTCAAGGCTAGTCAGGGCTATATAAGACTATTCAAGCATACATAAAACTGTTTTTAAAAATCACCATTTGAGTTCCTAGATATTTACCACTACACACAAAATCAGCACATATAGGTGGTATAATAGCTTCATTTGTAATCATCAAACATTAGAAACAACAAAAATATTAAATATATGGGAGATATATCTACATAACTGTTTTAATCAGGGATTTTTTTGAAAAGTGAGCTACTGAGCTATGAAAAGAGATGTAGCAACCTTACCCACTTAATTGCTGTTTTTAACATTGGGTGAGTCTGTGATGTTTGCATGCATAGGTATACACGAACATGTGTGTATGTACATGTGGAGGCCAGACATCAATGTCTAATGTCTTCCTTTATTTCTCTCTACCTTAGTTTTTGAGACAACCGTCTCTCACCAAACCTGGAGTTTAACCCAGAAAGCCCCAGGGCCCCAGAAAGCCCTCCTGTCTCTGCCTCCCCAACTCTGGACCATGCCCAACTTTGTAGCTGGGCTTAGCTACTTTGTGTGTTCTTTTTTTCCCACCCTTTACTCCCTGCCCCTGCATCATCCTGTATCACTACATAAGAAAGAAGGATAGAGGGGGAAGAGAGAGTGATCTGTGAATTCAATTTCTTTCTTCTTGTTTCTTCTTAGAGCACAACTATTAAGAAACTGCAAACAGCCCCCCAGATGACCAACAACCACCCACTCGCCTCTCAGGGCCCTAGCATTTATATACCCTCTGAAAGTTCCCAGAATTCCAAATATCACACAATCACAGAAGCAATCTGGAGCTGGCAAACAATGCCTCTGATAGAGCATGAGGCAAATCATAGTCAGCTGCTGTGGTCAGTCCAAAGCAGCCCCACAACCCCACACCTGGGATTAAAATGAAAACATATTCTTATAATATTTCTGTGTTTTTTAAAGAAATCAAAATTTGATAATTCTCACTACACAACTTTCTATATGAATACTAGGGAATTTAACCTGAGGTCCTCATGCTTATGTGGCAGGCACTTTACCAGCTGAGCTATCTCTCCAGCTTCCAAGTGCTTACTGCCAAATGAAAGAAACTCACATGGAAAAGCTATGACATATTGTGTGATTCCAATGATATGAACTATGGAAAAGTAAAAAATTGTAGAAACTCTAAAAATCTCGCTAATTGCAAGAGAAAGGTAGATCATGAAAGACTATTAAGACAGTGAATGATGCCGTATGATACTGTAATAGTAGAAAAATGTAATTGACATTAGCCAAAACCAGGAGGTTATGAATGTAGCTCAATGGGTAGAGCAAGTGCTTATCTAACTTGAGCAAAGTCCCAGCACCACAAAAACACATGATATTCAGCCTCAAGGATGAACCTTAAGGTAAACTATAGACTTTAGTTCATAGTAACATATACTGATATCGGTTTTAACAATATATATTAATGTAAGCTACTAAGAACAAAAGAATCTGTGCAGAAGGGGGAATTCATGAAACTATTTGTGGCTGAAATTGTCTATAAACATAAAACTCCCCAATTTAAAATACACTGCATTTTTAATTGGAAAATTTCCAGACATCTAAAAACTAAAAGAACTCAGGAGCAGACCTATACAATGTGAAACAACAGAGTTTTGTTTTTGTTTTTGTATTTTTCTTTTCAGGCATGAAACCCAGTGATCCAGATGGAACTATAGATATACACAAAAGAATGGCAGGTACAAGATCCTCAGGGTGAAATGTGAGAGACAGTTCTTTTCTTGATCTCATCACTAAGGATACCACATCTTGCCTTATTTATCCTTGTTGTGGTTGTCTTTTATAATGGTCAAGTATTGCCTTAGCAATTACAATATTGGTTAAAAAATCCAATAGGAGTTTCACAAACAGAAACCCAGCTCTTGAGGTGCCCTGTGTCTGTGTACCAGACAATAGCTGTACATTTTTGTTTTTTGTTTTCATGCTTGGAACTTGGTAATAGGGAAGCCGTTTCAGTGGTGACTACAGGAAACTCAATAGGTGATTGATATGCCTCATATTGTGCAAAGTTTCATCCATGTGGCAACCACCCTGTCCTCAGCCCCTTCCCTATCCCACCCTTCTGATGTCTTTTCTGAGTGCTTTTCCCTTAGGCTCAGTGTTCTGGACTCTGGGTGCTTGCCCACATACATTGAATGCTATTTGGCTTTATCGGTACCACCCTGGAGGTGGTTAGCAGAATCCTAAGAAAGAATCTTACTAGGAAAGGTTAATGTTGGGTAGATGGAATTGGAAAAATGACAAGATACAAAATCTGCCACAAGAGATCACCATTGTGCAGCTGAGCTGAAAGAAGCAGCCAAAATAAGTCAGCTGTCTGTCTGTCTGTCTGTCTGTCTGTCTGTCTGTCTGTCTGTTTTTTGAGACAAGGTTTCTCTGTGTAGCCTTGGCTGTCCTGGAACTCACTCTGTAGACCAGGCTGGCCTTAAACTCAGAGAACCACCTGACTTTGCCCCTCAAGTGCTGGGCATTGATTAAAGGCATGTGCCGCTGCCAACACCTGACTAGAATAGGTCATCTTGAAGGGAAGAAGGAAGGAATTTTCTTCCTCATTTTAGACTTTTTAGAAGAGAATTAGTAGTTCTCGGATAGGTACCAAAATCTCTCTGCTGTTTACTACACAGCTACCACAAGAATGTGAAGATATAGAAATACGAATATGAAGATATAGAAATAGTTGGGAAGGGAGTTGTAACACCATTAAAAAAAAAAAAGAATTAGTTTTACATGGGCCCTGGGAAATGTTTGCAAGTATCAATTTTGTGTTACCTTGGCTGGGCCTATACAAGGACCATATATGTTCATATCTGAAATGCTGCTGACATTGGGCCTTACGAAGGCCATATATAAAGACTCCTGGGTTGGGACACTTTTAGGAGGTGGGACTCAAGCTCTCACTGTCAGAAGCTCAGGATCCCCTTCATCTGAACCAGTTTCTGTCAGTACTTCTCCTTGTCTCTTATGAACTATTAGAGGGAAACTCAAGGGGAGATACCCTGTAAGTAAAAGCTGTTTGGAAAACTGCAGTGGATGTTAGTCCCAGTCTAGTTAAGAGGAGGTGGCAGCAATAGATGACCTCACACAGTGGACTATGGGTATCAACCAGGTCTTTATGTATAAATAGGAGAGTCTTGTGTGGTGGTTTTAAGCCCATATATATGAGCTTGTGGCAGCTGTGGTCACATATATCTGGTGGCCACAAACAACAGGGTAGACTCCAATTGTTCATGGTAGCTAGATGGGAAGTGATGAGAAGGTGAAACAAGTCTGGGACTGTTCTTTCAGTATCAGATGTGGTAAGTG